ATACATTCTGAATTTAGACACCAGAAATCTCTGGATCCTGAGTCTATGACATCCCGAATTTCGCCATTATGATAGCAAATCGGCCAGATATGTAATCTGAAAGCAAAAGCTATTTAAAAAGGATTGAATTTGAAATCTCGGGCAAAAAATTTCTTTTTTTTGCGGCGTTATTTGCAAAACAAATTTACGAAAAGTACTGAAGATTGAACCAAGCTATGTAATATGACTTTATTAGTAATAACTTAAGATAGTCGAGCAGCCTTTATAGGGACAAACGGGATATACAAAGAGCAAGGGCCAAAACTAGGTTTCAATGAGAATTCAAAAAGCTTCGAAACAGCATAGCATTCAATAACAAGTTTTCATTGCGTTGTTCATTTCATACCCGGCCCCCAGTTCGCCGTCTCTACCTCTCTGGCGCCAGACAGATGGCTGGGGGTACGCCCGGCGGGGCAACGAATAGCGCGCCGATGACCAATCCCTCCCCCAAAAAAGCACATGCAAATGGCCCGAAAAACCCGAAATTCAGAATACAGTACAAAGTAGGGAAGACTTTATTACAGACTGCCCGCAATCAAATTAAAATAGTTCAAGCGTAAAATTAACAACGTGAAATTTTGCAAATTATGCTCAAAGATCGTAACAAAAACATTTTCAATATTCCATATCGTCTCGGGCCGTCGATTTTCTGGCTCGGCCCGATGGCTTTCTGGCCGGGGTTTTGGGGGCAGTTGTTGTTGGCTTCCAGACGGCATCGTCGTCGCTTTCGTCAGAATTGCCTAGAGAAATATAAAATGTTTGGGCCAAAAAAATATTCAAAAAGCTAAAAAATTAGTTTTAAAAAAGTTTAATTAGCAGAATTACGGTAGAAAAATAACCTTTCACGTGCAAGGAGGACCGTTTCCGCGGCTTCAGCGCAAAGCCATCGCTCTCCGCCACTTTCTTCGTGAGCTGCGTGCTGCGCCTCAGGCCGCGCTCTTTCGGGGCGGGAAGCGGCTTCCGGACTCTAGACGGTCCGGGAGGCTTGACTTTTTGCGATTCACCGCCCTTTCTGCGTTCTTCTTCCTAAACACGGGTATTTTCAAAGTGTACTTTTCATTATTTTGCTATTTTTTTCAAGTGGAAAAACCTTAGAAAAATGTTAAAAAATGCAAAACCTTTTCGAAAAATCGATATTTAAGTGGATTAAAAACCTTAGAAAATGTTAAAAAATGCAAAACCCTATGGAAAAATCGATTTGCATTTTTAAGCAAATTTTTCAACAAAGATATTCGTTTAAAGATACTAACAAAACTATGCAAAAACACTCCCATTAATACTAAAAATCAATTCTAAGGGACAAGCCCACCCACCCCCGATATTGCAAAAGAACCCAAGAAAAACCCACCATGGCCTGCTCGGTCTGCTTGTCGTAGTAGGCGGCCGTGTCGGCTTCGACTTGACGGAGGGCGTAGCGTTCGATGGGCAGCATTCGAGTGATCAGCTCCCGGAAAAGCATCTGGTCCTGGCTGAGCTCCTCGAGCTGCGTGTCCCGCACCGAGCCGGCTGTCAGCGCGAATTCGCCCTATAAAAGAAACTATTTAGAAACATTTGAAAATTTCCTAAAATTTACAAATTTGGACAAAAAAAATAGATTTTATTATATCTTTAGTAAAATTTTCAATGTTTTTGCGTTTTGAAATAACAAAGAAAATAGCGAAAATCCCCTCCATAAAGATTAAAAAGAAAAACCATAATTTTCAGCATTAGATTTTCTATTTACCGTTTCCGCCTTCGCCTCGTCGCGCGCAATCTTCAAATTGGTCGTGTCCTGCTCTTCTTCGACGGCAGCCATCTCCTAGAAATAGAAAATTAAGGGAGTTAAATCCCACTAAAAACATAAGAAACCAAGAATCAACTTCAATAAAACAAAAAAGCCATTAACCAACCTTTTCAAAGGCCTTCGCATCTTGTGGCACATCCACACACACCGGTAGATCGTCTTCAGCCAGGTCGTCCTTGAACAAATCGCGCAGGTTGCTGGACTGCTTGAAGAAGTCGGGCGTGAAGCCGCCCTCGTCGATGGCCATCTCGCCTAAATTCTAATGTAAAATAAATCGTATTAAAATCTACCCAATCTCCGCTTCTGCATGGCCTTCTTCAGGATGTTTTCCTCGATTGTACGATCGGAGATCATGCGGTAAATCGTGACATGTCGTGTTTGGCCAATCTGAATATGGATATTGAAGCGGAAACTACAGCCTACAAACTCCAAATTAATTCCAACCTATATTCAACGCGAAAAAACATTGAACTTTGGGTGAAAAAGAAAAAGAGAAAATGTATGAAAAAAAATTTTCAAAAACTTTAAAATATTTTTCGTAAGTTCCCAACGATCAAAATCCACTAAAAATACCATAAAAAATGCAAATTCATTACATATCACAAATAGATAGGACAATGCTAAAAAAACAAGAATTAATCCCCCCGCTAACAGTCCAGTACCAAAAACCGACCCGATGACAACGATCCTGCGCCTGCGCGTCCATCGTCGGGTTCCAGTCCGAGTCGTAGAAAATGACCGTGTCGGCGCCGGTCAAATTAATGCCGACACCACCAGCCCGCGTCGACAGGATGAAGCAGAAGATCTTGGGGTCCGTGTTGAACCGCTCCATCATGGCGTGGCGCTGCTCGATGCCGGTGGCGCCGTCAAGGCGGAAGTAGTGGTAGCAGTGGAAGGACAGGAATTCTTGCAGAATGTCGAGCATTCCTGTATGGTCATTAGTGCACTGACCAGCCAAAGACTTACGAGCCATCTGGGTGAAGATGAGCACACGGTGGCCTTCGGAATGTAGGCGTTGGAGGAGGTTCTTCAGGACTTGGAGTTTTCCTGGAAAAACGTACTAAAATGAGCAAAATAAAAAATTTAGTAAGAAACTTTTTTAATTTTTTTTCAAAAACGATTCCACTAGCCTTATTATCCTACTACCAGGGTTGAAAAGCCGCTTCGCGACTTTTCCACCCTGGCCCCGTCTGGCCCCATTCTATCCTTCGCTTTGCATAATTGTCCTAAATTCGGATGACAAAAAAAATGAAAAACCACCTCTCCTGTCCATTTATATAGTCGAATCCCAACTTACGGTCTATGCTAATTACTATTCCTAACAAAGAAGTTTTCACAAAAACTTAAATTTAACGTCGAAAATATGTGATTTTGTTAAATCTCATATGCGTGCAGTCATCTCCAGGTTATTACGCACCTAATGACGTATCATACATACCTTAGAATTCATCCCCTATCGAGATATCCTCCGGACAGACAGACGGAAGTGGATGCAAAGTGGCACACACAGACACACAGACACTATTTTTTTTATAGATAGTAGGATATATAAAAAAGTAGTGTCTGTGTGTATGTGTGTGTGTGCCACTTTGCATGCAACTTCCGTCACCATGTCCGGGGGATATCCGGGAGACGTCGTTAGGTGCGTAATGGCTCTGGGATGACTGCACGCTTATCAGATTTTACAAAAAAATTTTTTTTTTCGACATTAAATGTCGCTTTTGTAAAATTTTCGGCAACCCACTTTGTTAGGAAAATCAGCATAACCCGGAAGCGGCAAGAGCCTATATAATCAGCCGCAGAGCGTCGTTTTTTTCATTTTCGCATCGAAATTCGTGAGACAAATGCAGAGTGAAGAGTATTCAGGCGTTAGACAGGGCCAGGGTTGAAAAGTCGCGAAGCGGCTTTTCAACCCTGGTCTATTTTAATTATTTACATATTTCAAACAATTTTTCAAGACCAAAATTTGCCAAATTTCAAAAACCCATTATCGAACTACATTTAAACAAAATGCCATTTATAAACTCAGGAAAAACATTTGAACAATACTGTGAAACTTCAAATGTACTGAATTTGGCAGCCTTTTTCACAAATCTAGAAAAATAAATTTAGCAAAAATTAGAATAGGAAATATCATGTCTAGAAAAATTCTTTTTTAGAAAACATAATTTGAAGAAGCATCATCGGCCGCTGAAAGTACAGTACCACAATCGAATTCGATCAACCGGGTATCGGGCAGCTGCATTTGCTGATCGCCCAGCATCCGTGCGCTACGCTTGTCGAGTGTTCGATAGACTTCCGCGCAATAATTACTAAAAATATAAAATATTTTTTCCGGAAAGCTACAAACTCCATTTGAAGATCCTCGCCCTTGTGGCACGAGCGGCGGCCTTGGCCGACGTCCAGCCTCCTCTCGAGCGAAACGGCAGCCGGGAGATAGATGGAATACCTAAAAACGTTACTTTACAAGTCAAAGCCCAGCACTGTTGCGTTATCGGGGGGTGGGGGGTAAAAGCGAAAGGATTTTTCAATCTCACTTTAAAAAGTCTCCCAAAACAAACCTTGGCAAGCTCGAAAATGGGCGCAGTAGCACCTTCTCGACGTCGTCGTGCATCGTCTGTTGGCGAGCGTGTAGCGGGTCGCTAAAAAAAAAGTGGTCATAAAAATTCCAAATTACCTAATTTCCTGCAACAACACGTCGATGAAGCCATACGGTATGGCCGGTTTCCTATCGTAGTGGCTTTGCGGTTTTTCCGAGCCTCGAGCCCGCTTGATCAGTCCGCCAAGCTGGGCCTCGTTTTGCTGAATAAGCGGTGGAACCGGAAGGAGTTCAGTAGCGTACCACTGGATATACAATCCGTTGTGATGCTAGAAGTTGGATGAATGGCGACTTCCTGGACTCCGGTGAGCGCGTATTCCTCAATTTGAGGAATCCCTAAAATCAAATCAATTATTTAAAAGAGAAAACTTATTTGTAAAGGCTTTGAAAGCTGTATTCTTCAAAAACGGTCCTTTCGCCTTATCGGGGGGCAAACTTTTGTATGTCTAGAAATGTCTAGTAACCTAATAGGAAGTATTTTAATAAGGTTTTTCGTCAGATAAAACTATATTTCAACCAGAAAAAAAGCCTCAAAAATTAAAAAAAAATCCTAAATTTTCGGTCAAAAACCACCATTCTTGGTAAGAAAATCTATTTATTTTTGTATTTATTATTAAAAATTTGTAAAGTTTTGACGGTAAGGATTAGTCAAAAACGGCTTAGAAACCCTTCTACTCTTTATATTGAAAAATCGGATCCTAAGAAAAAAAAATCAGCCCCCCCGATAATGCGAAAAAACAAAAAAAAATTACCATAGCCAGTCTGCCGTCCTCGGCGCCCTTGTCAAATTTGTAACGACGAAACTGCGGCCATTTCGGCTTCTCGTCGAGGATGGAAACTTTATTCGAGCTTTCAAGCTGAAAAAAAATACTTTATTAACGTTTTTCTGTCCCCTACATGATTAATATGCCCAAACAGCGAATATCCTGAAAAGGCGGCTGTTTCTTCCGGGGGCACGATGTCGAAGCACTTTCCTGGGAAGTAGGTGCTCAAAAACGATCAGTCGCTGTCAAAAATTTTGACAAACCGTTTGGCCTTGAAAATAAAGGGCGACGTGACGCCGCGCGGCTCGAAAAGCGAGGGGTGGTTGCAACACTTGCGCAGCTGCATGATGACGCCGAGGACGGACACCATTTTGCCGGATTGGAGGCACTCGCGGGTGCTAAAAATTAGCTAAATTTCTCCTTTAAAAAATATAAAAACACGTTTAAAAATGACTTAAAAAGGAAAATTTTGGTTTTTGACATTATCGGGGGCCGGGGGCGTCAAAATTTTTTATACAAATCAGGAAAGCTCTCATAACGTAATAGGAATTTGAGCTAGAAAAATTATCTAAAAACATTAGAAAATCCCAAGTCGAACTTTTGGCCAAAAATAGGTCTTCCGGTCGAAAAATCGATCCTTTTCTGTTTTTTTTTGATAAAACTTTGTGGATTTTTTACGTAGAGAATTAGTAGAAACAGTTTGGAACCACTTCTGGCATTTACATTTGAAATTTCGAACCTAAAAAAGTAGTGCCCCGATAATGCAAAAAGCACGTTAAAATTCCATACCTTCGAAGCCCCATAAAATCATCGTAGAGGAAGCGCTGGCGGCGGCTGAGCGGACACTTGACGATGATCTCTGTCTTGCCGGGCATCTGCTTCTCCACCTGGCACTTCAGGCGGCGCAGGATGAATGGGCGGAGGATCTAAAACAAATACAAAATCAAATTTTTCTAAAAAAACCTTGTGCAAACGGTTGACCAGCTCATCATTGTATTCGACATTTCCCTCTACCATGTCGTTGAGCGGATTCGAGAACCACTCCTTGAACGCATCGTGGCTGGCGAAGACCTCGGGCATCAGGAAGTGCATCAACGACCACAGCTCCATCAGGTTGTTTTGAAGAGGGGTGCCTGAAAGTGGATGTGGGATACAAAATGTGGTACTTTTGCATTATCAGGGGGGGCTTTTCCAGAATTCACCTTTTATATAAATAGAGACACTACTTTTTACTATTCCTAACCGTAATAACACTTTTATAATTAACCAGAATAAAAATACGCTTTTTCGCTAAAAAACGATAGGGTTTGACCAAAATTAGGAATTTCAAAAGTTCTTAGAAGCTTTTTTGGCAGTTTTCCCCTTTAATCATCGCCAAATTATACCAAAACCACTATTAAAAATTTTTTGATGATCAAAAACGGGCGGTTTTGAACAAAAATACAAACTTTACTCTTTTTAGCAATGTTTTAGCTAGTTTTTGATTGAAATTAGCTAATGCCAACAAAAACACTATTAAAATATCTGCTATGACCACTAGGGCTACCAAGAAATACAAATCATACCAGTCAAAAGTAGCCGATGATCGGCGTTCATCGTCAGCAACGCCTGCCATTTCATGCTCTTGAAGTTTTTGATGTTGTGCGCTTCGTCGAGCACCATGTATTGCCAGTGCTAAAAAGCAAATTTTATACCTTATGTATTTAATAAATACCTTTCGCTTGAACATGCGCAAATCCATCATCACCGTGTTGTAGGAGGCGATGCAGACGTGGAAGGCGTCCGGCTTTTGCCAGCCCTAAAAATGGAGATTTTTCGCTATCAAATATTAAATTCTGGTCAATAGATCTAGAGTTTTAAACCTATTTAGTAAAAAAAGACTAAAATTAGAATTAGGAACAATATAAAAATTGAAAAAACCAGAATAATTTTTTTTTAACCTAGTTATAGAGTAAAATTTGGAGAATCCAAAAACTCACCGCCCGCTTTGCCTTGCGCTCCTTCACAGTTCCGTAGTAGCTGAGCACTTTGAAGCCGGGGCACCACTTGAAAAACTCCATCTCCCAGTTGAGGATCACCGACGTCGGCACGATCACGAGATGCGGGCCCCACTTGTACTCGGTGCAGGCGAGGTGGGCGAGGACGGCGATCGTCTAAAAATAAGTTTTTGATGAGATTCCATCCGATTGCCTGAATCGTTTTGCCCAGGCCCATCTCGTCGGCGAGGATTCCGTTGATCTTGCCCCGGTACAGCGTGCGCAGCCAGTTCAGCCCGACGACCTGGTAGTCGCGCAGGGTGGCGTGAAGTAAGGAGGGGATTCCATCCTAAGGTAAGAAGCTTACTAAAAGTCTTGTTACAAACCTCTTGTTTAACTGGAGCATCCGCTTCTTCCGGTTCCAGAGCTTCCTGAAAAATTAAAGTTGCAAAAACCGGGTACCGGTCTCTTAGCAGGGAGGGGGGGGGCGGGGAATTTAGAAAGACTAACAAAATATTTTTTTTCCGCTCATTTCATATTTCAAAATTTTCATTTTGATTTTTTAAAAACTGGCATTTTGAACGCATTTTGCAAAATTTTTAAATTTTTGAAGTTTAATTTTTTCTGTGCCGTTATCTCCAAAAACCGTTTAAAATGCTATAAAAAATTGTTTATATTTTTCGTAAGGGATTACTGGGAAAAATACCCCCCCCGCTAGCAAACCAGTACCAACCCTTCTGATTTAGAATCCCATTTTCCAATTTAATTAATAAAAGACAGTATGGTACCTTCTCCGCCGACGGGGACGCGCTTCTCTCGGCATCCAATACCGTGGCATCAATGCCGGTGATCTTCGCCAGGTATTCCACGGGCAGCTAAATGACGAGAAAATCAATAAAACATTAAAGAACTCACAGATTTTAGAACATCATCCATACTCGCCTGCGATTCGTTCAACAAAGTCCGATCGGCACCGGCTGACTTCCGCTTTTTCGCGGGCTTGCGAGCGGTGTTCTCCGCGTTTTCATTGGTGCCTGAAATTTGTAAAAAATCGTTGTTTTTTTTCTGTAGCGAAAGACAAAGGTCTATATTTCCCTAACAATCCATTTTTTTTTGTAAAACTAAAAGTTTGTATTTTAATAAGTTTTTTGCTTTATTTTTTTAGCTAAAGCCAAACTTATGTATCCTTGTAAAATACCCACCTTGAACCGGCACAAACGACGATGAGAGCAGCGTCGACAGGTGCTCGGCATCCTCGATCATCTTGTTGACGTGCTCCCGCATGACAGCCCGCTTGCTGGCGGCAATGTCTTGCTACAAAACCAAACTAGACGAAAAATTAATTATTCCTCACCATCGCCTTCGCGTGAACCACCTTCGACACGTTCGACCAGAACTCCTTGACCAGCTTGGCGACGTGGGCGCACTGTTTCTTGCGATTCTTGATCGACTCCTGCTTTTGGCGCTCCTTCCATTGGTTCTGCGCCGACCACCAGCGCGTGATTTCTCTGGATACCTAAATACAAATTTCCCGGGAACTCTAAAAACTGCTGACCGTAACGCGACAGCGTTGGGCGAATTTTCGCTCGCGCCGGAACTCCTCACTGAGATATTTGACCTCTTCGAGCACAAAGTCCCAGGCTGTCTGGAATGACAATCTTATCGTAACTTTTCTGTTGACGATTCTTGTTAAAAATCTCGGAAGTATCTCTTCTATAAATCCAATTTTCCCAACGTATAAACTTCGAATTTTGATAAAAAACGATTTTTCGCTAAAAATGAACGGCCTGGTTTTCTTTAGATTGCCATCTTTATACCTTTCTCCTCGGCGGCGGCACGAACTTCTGGGCGTACAACTTGGCGAACTGGTCCCGGCATACTTGGGCAATTTCGAGAGCCGGGTTCTGAAAAATCGAAAATTTAATTAAAATCTATGCGCCAGAAGATATATAAATAAGGATGAATCCAACGTGTCCTTACCGGAGTCGGGCGCCTCAACAGACTCGGGTTGCTAGCTGTCGATCGCCTTTTTGCCGATGCGGTTGGCCAGCTTCCGGTGGAGATGTGGCTAGGAACGGCGCTCGCCTAAAGGTATAATCGGGGTAATTATACAAAAATCAAGGCGCACTGGAGTGCTATCCACTGGGATATCGATATCGATCGGGTGCATGGGGAGAGCAAAGGTTTCGTCGAGATCGATGGAATCTTCTGGCTTCGCCGAGACCTCCTCTTTGCGATTGGGGGGAGCTTCATCCTAATTTTGCAAAAAATTAAGCCGGTCGAAATTTGCTAACCTCAGAAAGCTCTACTACATCGATTTTTGCGGGTTTCGTGCGCTTTTTCTTCACCTCTTCGTGTACCGCCTCGACCTAAAAAAACAGTTTATTTCTGCGTTGAAAAATCCACACCGATGGAGCTGCTGTCGAATCCGAAGTTGGATCAACCTAAAATAAAACGTTTTCAGGAAGCCGGCAAAATTTACCTGTCTGCCCTCCTTCTCCTCCTCCTTTGATGGCTTGCGCGGCGTCCGGGTCTGTTTCTTGGTGCCAGGGGCAGACGTGATCACCTAGAAAAAAAGAGAAACATTCAATTTTCAAGTGAAAATTAACCGCTTCAACAACCGCTTTCTCCGCCTTCGAAGACGTCGCTTCAGACTTGCGCGGCGTCGCTCGCCCTTTCTTAGTGCTCTCCTAAAAAATAAACAGCAAAATTATTTTTCAAAGGGAAAAACTAACCTGTGCAATCACTTTCTCGACATTTCCAGGCTTCCTCGGCGTTTGGAACTGTTTCTTGGTGCTTTCCTAAAAATTTTTCCTTTTAAGGCTTTTTATAAGGAACGAACTGGTTCAACGCCCTTCACCAGACTCGAAGAGTTGCGTGGCGTTGCCCGCTGTTTCTTGAGGCTTTCCTAGGCATTATAAAAAGTTATTTTCCAAGTTAAAAATTTACCTGTTGAATCTCTTTCTCCACCTCCACCCCCGAGGATGTAGCTGCCGACTTGTGCGGTGCCGCTCGCTGTTTCTTGGCGCTCTCCTATCACAAAATTAAACTCTTTCTTCATCAGAAAAACTAACCGATTGAACAACCACTTTCTCCACATTTCCCGGCTTCCGCGGAGTGGCTAGCTGTTTCTTCGTGCTGCGGTTCAAGGCACTTTTCTAAACCAGAAAAAAATGCTTAAAACCGTGAACATTTCATATAAAGAATTCAATGAAAATCTACGCACCGCTGGAAGGCCTGGCGAGGGAAGTGGGCCGGATGTTGAATCGGCCTAAAAACCGAAAATAGAGTAAAAAGGAAAGAAATTACCTGCGCGACATCACTTCCTGACCCATCAGCCTTCTTCAAAACTGATGGCTTCTTCTTGGCCCGCTTGCTAGAAAGGACAGGCATCAAATCGACATCGGGAGCGCGGTCGGCCTATAAAACAAAAAGAAAATTTCAAAAAAATCGCGCTCCAACCTGATCGCCATCATTTTTCGGCTCTGGCGTCTTCACCAGCCAGCCCGTCAAAGTCGCTTGCTTCTTCTTGGGTGTTTTGCCCGCGAGATCGCCCTGAAGAGAATAAATTAATCGATCTCAATATTGAACCTGGGCCGTATCATTTTCCGCGTCTGGCGCCTTTCTTGGTGTCGCAATACTTTTCCTGGTTCTCTTGGTAGTAGCGGACGAGGGAGCTGGCTGAGGTTGCGCATCGCGATTTTCATCCTAGAAAGACATAGAATCTTTTTGAATCTGATTCTAACCTCCTCGACAGCTTTATTCTCAGCTTCAGCAGGCTTCACCAAGGTCGCGCGCTTTTTCTTGGCGGGGGTGGCACTGGATTCGGCCTAAATGAAAGCGTTGGTACTATTCAAGTTCGGGGGCAAAATTTTTTTGGGTCATTTTCGGTCATTCTTCTTAGTTTTTCTTAGCGCCTAGCTTAGTATTGGCTTAGTTTAGGCTCCGGCTTAGCTTAGCCTAGACTTAGGCTTAGCTTAGCCTAAGCCTAGGCTTAGCTACTGGGCGGGGCGAACTACCCTCGCCTTAGCTTAGCTTTTCTTAGCTTCGCTGTTTTTGGCTTCGGCTTAGCTCTGTTCAAGCCCGATTTAGCTGAGCTTCAGCTTAGCTTAGCTTAGAAGTAGAGCATTGCGCTTGATTAGCCGTGAAAAACCGAAAAAGTAGCCCAAAAATGACATCGAAAAAATTTTGCCCCCCCTAACTTGAATAGTACCAAAGCGTTTTTTGTGCCAGAGATAGATCGACGCACCGGAGTATCTACCTTGGCTTCATCTTTTCCGGATTCTTGAGCATTACTGAGCGTTTCTCGCCTGTTCTTGGGTCGTTTCAGCGGCGTGCGAGCGCTGTCGGTGCTTGTCTAAAAACATTTTTTGGCAGAAAAACCTCACGCACCTTTGCAACCTCTTTTGGCACACCAGAGCGAATGGCTTTCAATCTTTTGCGTTCCACGGCAAGACGAAGCTTTGGGATGGCTGCCTCAGCGTCTCCGACAATCCTAAATCTACGAGTGAAAAAATCTAAAACCAAATCTCACGTGGCCTCGAGTACGCCCAGGGCTTTTTCGAGGGCGACAGTGTTCTGAGATGGCCCTGGCGCTGGAGTAGTAATTCCCTAAAAATAACGATTAAACACTATCTATAGGCAAAAATAATCACCGTAGCTTCTGCAAAGAACGCGTCAAGTTCTGCTTTTCGTTTGTGCCGAATTTCGACACTTTTCTTGAGCCGGAGCAGCGCCATCGCGGCTACCTCGCATTGAAGGACTTGCTGAAAAGAGTTATCATTTTTTTGCTACGCTACAAGTAGTTTTAAAACAACAAAAAGCCTATTTCTATAAAAAACTTACATCAAGCGGCTCGTCTGCTTCGTCCGGTGCCTTAGACGCGGTGTCATCGTTGATTTCCTAGAAAAAAAGTAAAAGCAAAAATAAACTTATACCGAAGCTGCCTTCACTTCCGTTTCCCCGGTTGCTTCTTGCGCTTGAAAAGTTGTATCAACATCGTCTTCAGCAATGGACAGGTTCGGATCCTGTTTCTTGCTTCGTCGCCTCTGCGACTTGCCAGACATCCTGGCTTTATCGCTCTTCTAGAAAAAAAAGTGATTTAAGAGCGGAGAGCATAGGAAAGCAGTAATAGTAGAAAAATAAAGTGGAAGACACCATATCGGACCGGGAAAGCGCGCTCGCCGCATGGGTCTGGGAGGTCACGCCCGAATGGAATACTTTAAAGTAATATAGTTGAAGTTTAAAGAGTATTTTACAAGATTAATGTCATTATTTTACATTCCTACGCGCAGGCTTTTTTATAGAGCAAAAATACACTTTACTTTTCAAAGAACGAAACTTTACAAATGACCAAAAACGGGCGTGTTTTAGCGGTCATGCGGAGTGACGGGGATAGTAGCGCGGTGGAACCGGTGATTTCACTGGCTTTTTGAACTTTCCGAAATTTTCTTTAGACAAGAAAACAAAATAAAAATTGTATTAGCAAAAATTCAAACACTTTTTATATAACTTTTCGCGAGTTTGGGAAATTGCCTATTTTCAAGGCGAACCACTTTATCAACGGCAGAAAGTTGTTTTTCCTCCTTTCTGCCTTTCTTTTTCGCACAGAGTTTTCGAATTTCAGCACGAACTTGGTCCGCAACCAATTTTACAGCGACAACCGTTTGCGGCTCTGTGCCAACAAATAAGTGGGTTTTAGTGGTCGGCGGAGCGGATCCCAAGAATACAAGATCATGTTGTTGATTGATCGTTTGAAGCGATCATGTTGCTGCCCATAAAATTTGGGAAGAAAAAGACATGATCTGTGAACTGATGCATTCAAAGTTTATTGCCATTCATCACAGGTGATTAAGAAAATTGCGTAAATATGGTTTTTCTGCGGTCTGTAAAGGTGGGTAGCCGTCGTTTTCTAGAAGTACGGGCAGGTCGGCCGTTGCACCATGCGATCGCCGGGCGTGCAGTTGAACGCTATCTGAAATTCGTGAGGCATAGAGGGCATAGTAGTTGGCCAAGTCTCACTGCGAACTCCTCCATGTTGCTGTGAATCATGTTGACGCGGATGCGGTGCGCCGAATGAACGTCACGGCCCTTGCTGCCGACGCTGGAAACAATGTCGATGCACCATCTTGAAGGTGCAGCTCACATGTGCTGCGAACGGTCGTATGTGGAGCAGTAGGGGATGGACTGGGCGTAGAAGAAGAGCTGCTCTCGGGTCACGCCCAAGTCGGGGTATACGAGCCTCTGTAACGGATTTTTTGACGTAAGCCCGGCTCGATACCTTAAGCGGATCCCCGTCATTTCCCCATTCATCGCGGACCTCCACCATAAAGGCCTAAAAAGTTTGGTAGAACTTTTTAAGCGCGTGTAAAAAGCTGCTTATGGGCTTCAGAAATACGTAAAAAAATTGCGTCACCTCCCAAGCGATTCTCAGCCCAGTGAAGTCAGAGCGATCCTCGAGGAAGGTGTGCAGGCCGCTGAAGCAGTCCTAAACATGCGGCTAAAAGTATTTATTAAATCAGGTCGAATTTTGCAAGAGTTCCTACCTTTTCCGGCCACAACTGGCAGGCCCGACTGGCCCGGTCGACGATGCAAATTTCGGAGGGGCGGGTGGGGACGGGTTTCGAAAAAATGAACTTTTGCTCAGGTCACGATATAACGTAAAATTTAGGCTGGTTTTAATATGGAGAGGATACAACCGTTCACTAGTTTTAACAATAAAAATCTTGAAAAATTTGTTCAAAAATATACAACAAATGTGTATATTTGCACCCTAATTTAAATTCCTAGGTTTTCCAGGTAATCCTTTCCCAAATATAGCAATTTTTTCACAAACCTTGTAAAACGCTTTTAATTAAGCTTCCCTTTATTTAAAAACTTTATAAAAGCTCTAATTAACTCTCACCGGCCAGTCACTGGGGTTGCTAAAATACGGCATCGCGTGCATATACTCGTGGGCCATCACCCAGCCGGTGCTGCCGTACTGAAACGGAATCGTATATTTTGGCGTCTGTTTCTCCCTCTGCCCCTCTCTGTCCCTCTCTCTGTCTCTCTCTCCCCTCTATTACTCTCTCCTCTCTCTCTCGCTCCCTCTCTTTCTCTTCAACATACCGCAATGGCCGGATCAGCCCCCGGATTCACCAAAACCGGCATCAGCTCCCAGATCGACATCGAGACGTAACGGCCGGAATTCGAGCTTCCTGAGAAATCATCAAAAATTTTCTAAGCGCTGCCTACCGATCCTTCTCAACCCGACAGCTAGAAGTTGCTGAATCGATGCCCATTTTTCGATCATCGGCTTCAAAGAGGTGGTCCAAGCGTAGGATATTTCGAAGTAGCGGTCCGGCCACTGGTCAGGGGTGAACTAGACGAGGTTGATGATTGATAGCAACTCTCTATCTCTCTCTCTCTCTCTCTCTCTCTCTCTCTCTCTCTCCTTTGCTCTCACCTTCAGATGCTCAAAAGTTTTCTTCGTCACATCAATCAGCGCCTTCAGCCCATCGATCTGCTCCAACGTCTCGTCGACCACCGCGAAGAAGATGGTCAGCTACAGAGGCTCGGTGATCATCAGTTATAAACATCGTTCCAACCTCGTTGATGGCGTTCACATGTTGCCTGTACAGCTCCTCGTAGTTGGGCTCGCGCGAGAATGTCTAGATTTCAGATTTGATGGCGGCTTTTCGACATGAGCCCCGTGAACAATCCACACCTCGACCAGCTTCATCATTTGGTCCTGCAGGTTGTTGTGCATCCTCGGCAGCCGGCGGTTCATGCCGTGGACGCGTTCCTGGAGTTAGCATAGGTTTAGCTTAGGCTTAGCTTAGGCTTAACTTAGGTTTAGCTTAGGCTTAGCTTAGGCTTAGCTTAGGCTTAGCTTAGGCTTAGCTTAGGCTTAGCTTAGGCTTAGCTTAGGCTTAGCTTAGGCTTAGCTTAGGCTTAGCTTAGGCTTAGCTTAGGCTTAGCTTAGGCTTAGCTTAGGCTTAGCTTAGGCCTCGCTTAGGCTTAGCTTAGGCTTAGCTTAGGCTTACAAGGGAACCTCAAGTTGGCACGGTGGAGTTTCGAAAAACGCTCGCGGCTACCCCTAGGTTTTCGACTATGGCGATTCCAACCCTCTAGTCAGAATTTCCTAAATGGGCCTCTGGACAGCGATACAGCACTTCCGGAAAATGATGATTTGCATCCTAAAAATTAGCATTAGCTATAGGTTTATGAGGCTCTCCCATCACATAGGAATCACCAGTTGAGTGGCCGAGTGGTAAGCGACTCGCTTGGTAGAATACTGAGGAGGGTTCGAACCCGCCCACGATTTTTTATTTTGCCTTTTGACCGGAACTTTCTGCCCACCTCCAAGTTTTGTTTTTTACTATAAGAAAAAAATTTGGTTATGGCTCCAGGCTCCCAAGGAAGCCTCAAAAATTCGCAAAAGTTATGCGATCAACTGGGTGTTCCCATCTCCGTTTTTTTACAAATGGGTCACTCGGATCAGATTTTTTAATTTTGTTTGGCTTCGCGAACGCTTCTAGACATTTCAGAAACAGAACGAATTTTCGAAAAAAAGTGACGAAAACTTGGAGGTGGGCAGAAAGTTCCGGTCAAAAGGCAAAATAAAAAATCGTGGGCGGGTTCGAACCCTCCTCAGTATTCTACCAAGCGAGTCGCTTACCACTCGGCCACTCAATTGGTGATTCCTATGTGATGGGAGAGCCTCATAAACCTATAGCTAATGCTAATTTTTAGGATGCAAATCATCATTTTCCGGAAGTGCTGTATCTCTGTCCAGAGGCCCATTTAGGAAATTCTGACTAGAGGGTTGGAATCGCCATAGTCGAAAACCTAGGGGTAGCCGCGAGCGTTTTTCGAAACTCCACCGTGCCAACTTGAGGTTCCCTTGTAGCAGGCTTAGCTAGGCTGGCAGCTGCTTAGGCTTAGCGGCAGCTTAGGCCTCGCGGCAGCGGGCAGCGGCACTTAGGCTTAGCTTAGGCTTAGCTTAGGCTTAGCTTAGGCTTAGCTTAGGCTCAGATCCCTACCAGAGCATCTGTCAGGAATTCGACACGATCGGGGATCATCGAAAGTTTCTCAACCAGCTGAAAAAACGTAATGATATTTTAGGTTATTTTTAAGTCCAATTTAAAGGTATTGCTATACACGTATGCATCTTACATCTCCCATTTCTTCTCGCTCTCGGCGCAGTCTAACCACGTCTTCGTGAGGTTGCTCGTTCTTCGCGCGTAACTCCTAGAAACGAATACGCACGCGAGCGAACGTTGCGCAAGCACGTACACGACGAAGCATAACGTAACGTAACGTCACGTAACTCGTAAGTCCCTACGACGACGAACCTTTTGCATCTTCCGGCGATCTTGCTGCTCGGGATCGACTTTTGAACGCGACGCAGCCTCGACTGACCGATTGAACGTGCCGATGATTCCCCACTGCCGCAACTTCTCGACGCCGTGGGCTAAAAATGGAGATGTTCAGCACCAACCTTGTAGGAATTGTTAACCCACCTTGTACCTGGGCGTAGTAGGTGTCCTTCAGTTCCATCGAAATCGGGCATACCTGCAAAAAGCTCTCCGTCTCTCTCTGTCTCTGCCTCTCTCTCTCTCTCTCTCTCTCACTGTCCTGACACCCACATGCCGATAAAAGTTGTCGCACGGGTGGATGGCCGGGTTTCGAAAGTGGGTGATGAACTTCTCGAAGAAGTTTTCGCTCAGCACGTCGGCCTTCAGATCTTTCCTCCACCAAGGATACCATCGACGGAGACGTGCTCTAGGAATAAAAAATCTATGACATCCAAAGGTCCGATTTACCGTCGAGCTTCGCTACCGGTGGTGCCGTTAGGGTCATCGACTTCGTAGTCATCCCCACCGTACCCTTCTTCTTGGGCTACAACACGGCTAAAACGCAATCGTACGCTAATAGAGTATTTTCGTACCGAATGAAAAGGAGACAAATCAGCAGCCAGATGGCGCTCATTTTTGAGCTGTATGACTTAAAATTTGCCTGTAAATTATGGGCTAGATGCAAAATAATTTATGCAAATCGCTTCCGACGAAACGAATTTCGATGGTTCAAAAGGTTCATCCAAAAATACGCAAAATCACGATTTATTCCAGCAAAGGTTTGTATCACAAGTGATCGAACTGTTCATATCCGTTACAGAAATCTATGTATTTTTTCGGGGCGATGCCGTCTGAAGTCTGCTTCTCAGAAGTAGGGGCAGGTCGGCCGTTGCACCATCAGATCGCCGGGCTTGCAGTTGAACGCCTCCTGAAAACCTCGCGATGTCAAGCCTAAGCCTAAGCCTAAGCCTAAGCCCAAGCCTGGTCTAAGCCAAAGCCTACGCCTTTTCCTAAGCCTAAGCATAAGTCTAACAAGGGAACCTCGCGGAGACATGGTGGAATTTCGGAAAACGCTCGCGGCTACCCCCGGGTAATCGACCATTGCGATCACGATGCGCTTGTCAGATTTTTCTAAATAGACCTGTGGACAGAGATACAGCACTTCCGGAAAATGCTGATTTACATGCAAAAAATTTGCATAGAAGGATGGTTTATGAGGCTCTCCCATCACTATGGAATCAGCAGTTGAATGGCCGAGTGGTAAGGGACTCGCTTGATAGGATTCTGACCAGGGTTCGAATCCGCTTACGATTTTTTGTTCTTGCTTTTTGGACAAAAATTTTTGTACAAGTCCAAAACCATACGTGCTAAAGTACTTCTAAATTTTATGACAGTGGTCGACGTTACGTGGTCAGAAAATTATTCTTGTAAAATTTTTTTCATTTTTTTTGCAGATGGTCAGGTGTAGGAACTCTAGCCGGCAGAACTGCTTTCATTTTTCGATTTTTTCGATTTGGCTAAACATTAGGGATTTCGGGCTATTACTAGTAACATTCTGGATTTGTACAAAAATCACTGGCCAAAAAGCAAAAACATAAAATCGTGAGCGGATTCGAACCCTCGTCAGAATCCTGTCAAGCGAGTCCCTTACCACTCGGCCATTCAACTGGTGATTCCATAGTGATGGGAGAGCCTCATAAACCATCCTTCTATGCAAATTTTTTGCATGTAAATCAGCATTTTCCGGAAGTGCTGTATCTCTGTCCACAGGTCTATTTAGAAAAATCTGACAAGCGCATCGTGATCGCAATGGCCGATTACCCGGGGGTAGCCGCGAGCGTTTTCCGAAATTCCACCATGTCTCCGTGAGGTTCCCTTGTAAGCCTAAGCCTAAACCTAAGCTCAAGCTTATTCCTAAGCCTAAGCCTAGACCTAAGCTTAAGCATAAGCCCAATTGTAAGCCTGCTAAGCCTAGCTCGTACGCACCGCAAACTCCTCCATGTTGCCGTGTACCATGTTGATGCGGATGCGAGGTGCCGAGTGCACGTCCCAGCCGCGGTTCTTATACCTGGAAAAAAATTGAGGATCGTAGGCCCTTACGTAATTGCTTTTTCTCAGTATAAAATCCTCAAATTTGACTTACGTGTGCTGCGACTCGTCGTAGGGGACGCACAGGCGGATGGCTCGCGCGTAGAAGAAGAGCTGCTCCCGGGTCACGTTCAGCTCTGGGTAGATGACCGTCTAAAACGGTAATTTTACATCAAAAATTTTTTTTGGAGAAGACTTGAAGCGTTTATCGTGTTCTAAAAATTTTTTCCAACCTTCATCGCAGCTTCCTTCGCACCCCAGCCGCGCACCTCGGCCAGAAAAGCCTAGCAAAATTACCTGTTAAATCGATAGAACGATTAATCTACCTCCCAAGCTATGTGAATTCCCGTGACGTCGGAGCGATCTTCTTTGAACGTGTGCTGACCGCTGTGGCAGGCCTAAATGCCTACCGTAAGCTACCCTACCACACCTCCCAGCCAAAGGTTTTGGCCATAACTTTTTTATTTTACATTATTGTAGGTTCAAATTAAAACTCTTAGTATATTTTTAACGCTCTAGCGAATGGCGTTGCAAAAATCCCGACAAAATAAGCGAAAATCCCGAAAACTTTCAGACCCTTAGGATGTGGGGGGGGGGGGTTAAGTAAAGTTTTACCATTCCTTACAAAACGAACCTTTTCCCTCCACAGCTGGCAGGCTCGACGGGCGCGTTCGCGGATGCAAATTTCGGAGGGGCGCGAGAGGACGGGTTGCTGAAATGATAGGCTTTCTGGAAAGCGAGCACCAAGAAGTGCTTACCTGCTCCTGCCGAATGTTGCTGCTCGGCGACTTGAAGAAGGGCATCGAGTGCACGAACTCGTGGGCCATCACGAAGCCGGCTGATCCGTACTAAAAAAAATCGACACCTAGACGATAAATAGAAGATAAAGACGTATACAAAGACGATAAATAAAAAAATAACGATACAAAATCCTCGTCTTTCTCTCTCGCTTTCTTTCTCTTTCTCTCCCTCTCTCTCTCTCTTTCTCTCTACCTCTTCATCTCTTTCTCACCCACTCTCTCTCTGTCTCTCTCTCTCTCTCTATCTCTCTCTCTCTCTCTCTCTCTCTCTCTCGCTCTAACATACCGCAATCGCCGGATCGGCCCTCGGATTCACGAGAACTGGCATCAGCTCGCCGACCGACATCGACACGTAGCGGCTTACGGTGTGGCTTCCGAGCTTGGCCATACCCACGGCCAGCAGCTGCTGGATCGACGCGTGCTTCTCGATCAAGGGCAGCAACATTGCCCGCCACGCGTATGCCGCCTCGAAGTAGCGGTTCGGCCATTCGGAGGGCGGGAACTAGCAAATTGTGAGTTTTTTACGGACTAGTTTTTTTTGGCATAAGCCTAACATTTTTATTGATCAGGCACATCTTTCTTTTTTTTCATTGTCTTGACTATTTTAAGGTTGGTTCAATCTTAGAAATTTTGATAAAAGATTAATTTTAGGTCGAGAAATCAATTTTTTTCTGCTTAAAATATAGTTGAATGATACAAAAAGCAATAAAAAAAATAGTTGTATAGTTTTTAGGCGTTTGTTATGTGTTTAACGATGCAATACCTCTCACCTTAATTTCTTCAAGAGCGTTCCTGGCCAGCTCGGGCAACTTGGCCAGCCCGTCGAGTTTGTCCAGCGTCTCGTCGAGCATCTCGAAGAAGACGGTCGTCTGGAGTAATCATTGGACTTCAAAAATTGCATCAAATACTCACATCATTGATGTTCTGCACATGCTGCTCGTAAAGCTCCTCATAGTTGGGCTCAGGCGAGAATCTCTGAAAATGTGGGATTTTTGGTTTTCGACATCGTGCGTCTTGGTCTTTTACCTCGACCAGCTTCAGCATCTGGGCCTGCAAATTCTTGGCCATTTTCCGGAGTCGCTGGCTGTTGGGTTGGATGTTAGCCTGGAAGCAGCTGAAGAGCAAGAAAAAACCAAAACAATGTGATGACCTCAAAAAACGCAAAAAAGGCTTGAATCTTACTAGAGCATCGGCCAGGAATTCGACGCGTTCGGGGATCTGTGCGATCTGCGTAATCAGCTAAAAAATGTTTAGATCTCGAATTTAAAAGCGCGCTTTATTTGAAAATACAAAAATATCAATTTTCTGACGAAAAGTGGTCGATTTTCAACCAAAAAAAAAGTATTTTTAAACTTTTTTGATAGTCTTTGCCCTTAAAACAGGGGTAAATTTTAATCAAACAGTTATCAGAAAATTAATTAGCATTTGTGGGCTAATAGGAAAAATTAGGCGCTCGTCCCCGCGATAATGCTGAAGAAATGCGTTTTCTCCTACTCAAACCGACATGTCCAAACAGCCGACGCTCGTCCCGTAGCGTGGCCGTGTCCTCGTGCATCCACTCCAGTTTTTTGCGCATCCCCTGACCCGTAAGGTATCTGGTGTTAAGTTAAGATACCTCCTGCATCTCCCTGCCTTGCTCCTCCTCGGGATCCGATATGAATTGATCCACTGGCGAGCCCATCCGACCGAGCGGATCGTAGAAGGCCGGGGTTTCCTCCCAAGGCGGGTTGTAGCGATGTTCTCAATAGTATAGAAGTAGGTCCTTGTGAAAAATTCAATTCACCTGCTACTTGGCCGTAGTACGTTTCTTTCCGCTCTATCGAAATTGGGCAAATCTGGGAAGTCCCCACCCTCTCTCTCTCTCTCTCTCTCTCTCTCTCTCTCCAACACCCACATGCCGATAGAAGTTGATGCACGGGTGGATGGCCGGGTCGCGGAATGCGGCGATGAACCTCTCGAAGAAGTTGGTCTTCATCAGGTCGGCCTTGAGCGCCTTTCCCCAGAACCAACGCCGATGAC